GCAACACTGAAATACACAAGTTCCACCAAGCAACACTAAGCTCCACAAGTTCCACTAAGCAACACTGAGATCCACGAGTTCCACCAAGAAAGACCTGGATCTACACATCTCACCATGTAACACTGAAGTCCACACCTCACGCACAAGCGACACCGAGAATCACTCACTGCCAGGCAGTACTGGCTGCAACACACTTCCCTATCAAACAACACTGATTGCAACACACTTCCCTACCATTCAACACTGGCTGCAACGCACTTCCCTACCAAGCAACACTGGCTACAACACACTTCCCTACCAAGCAACACTGCAACACACTTCCTTACCAAGCAACACTCTTCCGTAGCTCACCAAAAAACTTGGTTTATGCAATATTAGGGACTTGTTCTAACACTCTAGCAGTATTGTTTCTAGCAGGTAAGATGTTAGCAGTTAGTTCAAGTGTGAGAAGCACCTGAAGCAACATGACAAGCACCTGCAACATGAGGATCTGCAACATGGCGAGCACCTGCAGCAATATGGTAACAACTTGCAGCAACATGACAAGCACCTGCAGCAACATGTTCGTACCCACACACAACACTGATTAAAACAATATTCAATACCTACAAATAAAGAACAATGAAAATTTAATAGTGTCAAGTGAATGTAGAACACAACAGGCGATGGAGCCGGATAAAATTTCTCCGTGGGTCCTGAGAGAGGGAGCAGAGACGCACTGAGTACCACTAACAATATCTTCAAAACATCTATCGAAACAGGGCGACTAACTGAGGTATGGAAGATTGCAAATATAGTCCCAATTTTTAAAAAAAGGGATAGATATGCAGCGTTAAACTACAGACTAGTATCCCTGACATGTATCGTATGCAAAGTCATGGAGAACTTAATCAGGAGAAGAGTGGTGGAACACCTAGAAAGGAATAAGCTTATAAACGACAACGATCACGGATTTACAGACGGAAAATCCTGTGTCACATAGATTGCGTTTTCTTGGATTGTAAGAAGGCTTTTGACACAGTTCCACACAAGAGACTAGTGCAAAAGCCGGAGAACCAGGCAGGTATAACAGGGAAGGCACTGCAATGGATCAGAGAATACCTGATGGGAAGGCAGCAGTAAGTCATGATACGTGATGAAGTGTCAGAGTGGGCGCCTGTGACGAGCGGAGTTCCACAGGGGTTAGTCCTGGGACAGGTGCTGTTCCTAGTATGTAAAAGACACGACGGAAGGAACAGACTCAGTAGTGTCCTTTTTACAGACGATGTGAAGTTAATGAGGAAAATTCAGTCGGAGGAGGATAAGGCAGGACTACAGAGGGATCTGGAGAGGTTGCAGGCCTGGTCCAGCAACTGGCTCCTGGAGTTTAAACCCAGCAAGTGCAAAGTCATGAAGATCAGGGAAGGGCAAAGAAGATCACAGAGTACAGTCCAGGGGGCCAAAGACTACAAACCTCGAACGATTCCAGACTGAGGGACTAACTACCTCAAACTCTTCCTCTCCTAACCTTTTTCTGCTTTGTATTGAACTGATGAAACCACTGTGTGGCGAAACGTTTCCTTAATAAAGATTCCCATATGTTGCGTGTCTCAATCTTCAACTAAAATCCTCACTCAAGAAAAAGCATCTTGGGGTGTGTATAATACAGAGCACATCTCCTGAGGCGCACATCAACCAAATAACTGCTGCTGCATATGGGCGACTAGCGAACCTATGAATATCTTTTCGACATCGCTGGTTGACCAGGCAAGCACCAGACAAGCCTGGCCCATGGCCGGGCCCTGAGAGTAGAGACTCTCGAAACTCATCAAAGGTATATCAAAGGAGTCATTCCGGACCCTGCACATCGTGTACGTCAGGCTCATATTGGAGTACGCAGCTCCAATTTGGAATCCCTCACGTCAGGAAACTAAAGTACAAAGGTTTGCAACTAGACTAGTCCCGGAGCTAAGGGGGCATGTCCTATGAGGAGGGATTAAGAGAACTCGACTTCACGAGACTGGAGGACAGGAGGGACATGACAGCGACATATAAAATACTGAGAGCAATCGACAAGGTGGACAGAGACAGGATGTTCCAGAGATGGGACACAGCAACAAGGGGTCACAATTGGAAGTTACAGGGATGTTAGGAAGTGTTTCTTCAGCCATAGAGTTGTCAGGAAGTGGAATAGTCTAGAAAGTGAGGTTGTGGAGGCAGGTACCATACATAGCTTTAAGAAGAGATATGATAAAGTTTATGGAACAGGGAAAGAGTGGACCTAGCGGCGACCAGTGAAGAGGGGGGACCAGGAGCTATGACCCCTGTAACCACAATTAGGTGAATACTTTCTTCAGATCCCAGAATCCAGCACAAATAACAAAGAGTATAACTTTTCCCGTGGACGACCTATGGGTCAGCTGTCCTAGGATGCGAATCAAAACAGTTGACTAACTGCTATGTACCTATTCACTGCTAGGTGAACAGGGGCAGCCCATTCGTCTCGCCTGCCCAAAACGGAACGCTCTACGAAACCTCTGAAGCGCCCGTTGCTGATGAACCGTGAATGGAATACCTTACGATATCCTCATTGTCCTACTGAACTCTGCTAGCTCCGGCTGAGAGACTTCATCACTTTGTATGTTTCCCATCCTGCGTAATGGAATACGACAGAGAAACAAAGTTAGCTTTTGCTCACTCTGTATAGCTGTCATAGCATAGTGTAGCACCTCGATGAATAGAGTTTTGCTAAATAAAAGCCTCTACATGTGAGGTACGAGACACTGGTGTTTGTGACTCACTATTACGAAGGACAACTCTTGAACTGCACAGTTATGTTGCATATTTCAGTTTCTCTTGCGACAAAATACAATAATTACATATATCTCCAATACAATTTTGGTCAATTCATGTCACGCGTGAAAACCTAAGCAATTTCACGCAAAAATAACGTCAAAATACTGAAGGCAAGCTTGTGTTCCAAGACAACTGGTGTATATTCAGATATGATGCGGTTGGACAATTTGGAAACACCAAGCATGTCAGCTCACTTAGCACGTCTGCTCACTTAGAAAGTGAGGGAGATAAGTAGGAGGGCATTCAGAAAGAGCAATGATCGCAGTAACATACTGCTGACTTCCACAGCTCCTGCAAACGCTGTCTCCAACAGCCCTCTGACCAACTCAGATTGCTGGTATTCCCACTTACGATGAGTAGCAAGGATGTGTGCTTAATAGGGAGTGTGTATGGAGGGTGCGATACTACTTTAATATCCTCGCCTCGAACATCCAGATAATACAAGATTGTCTCGATACAAGTAGATAGTTCTTAGCGTATAGCTTCAGTGTGGATTCCCAAGTCTCCATGGTGGTGTTATCTTCCTGGATGTTTCTCTATTTCCTATTCTGTTCTTCTGGTGGTAAGGCTGGATTCCTGGAACTGTCACTAGGTCACCTCGATAGGTACCTTCTTTGACGTTCCTCAGGTGATAGGTACCTCACTGCTTGCTGAGGCTCCCGACGTTATACCTCAATGAAGCTCATGTTATGCCTCCCTGAGACTCCAGAGGTTATACTTCACTGAGGCTCCCGACGTTATACATCACTGAGGCTCCTGACGTTATACTTCACTGAGTCTCAAGTTATGCCTCCCTGAGGCTCCTGACGTTATACCTCACTGAGGTTCCTGACGTTATACGTCACTGCGGCTCCTCATGTTATACCTCACTGAGGCTCCTCATGTTATACCTCACTGAGGCTCACGTTATACTTGGGGCTCCTCACATTATACCTCACTGAGGCTCCTCATGTTATACCTCACCGAGGCTCCTCACATTATACCTCACTGAGGTTCCTCACATTATACCTCACTGAGGCTCCTTTCATTATACCTCACTGAAGCTCATGTTATACTTCAGTGAGGCTCCTCACATTATACTTCAGTGAGGCCCCTCACGTTATACCTCACTGTGGCTCCTCATGTTATACCTCACTGAGGCTCCTCACGTTATGTCTCACTGAGGCTCCTCGTGTTATACCTCACTGAGGTTCCTCATGTTATACCTCACTGAGGCTCCTCACGTTGTCTCACTGAGGCTCCTCATGTTACACCTCACTGAGGCTCATGTTATACCTCACTGAGGCTCCTCACGTTATGTCTCACTGAGGCTCCTCATATTGTCTCACTGAGGCTCCTCACGTTATGTCTCACTGAGGCTGCTTACGATATGTCTCACTGAGGCTCCTCATGTTATGTCTCACTGAGGCTCCTCACGTTATGTCTCACTGAGGCTCCTCACGTTATGTCTCACTGAGGTTCCTCATGTTATACCTCACTGAGGCTCCTCACGTTATGTCTCACTGAGGCTCCTCATGTTATACCTCACTGAGGCTCCTCACGTTATGTCTCACTGAGGCTCCTCACGTTCTGTCTCACTGAGGCTCCTCACGTTATGTCTCACTGAGGCTCCTCACGTTATGTCTCACTGAGGCTCCTCACGTTATGTCTCATTGAGGCTCCTCACGTTATGTCTCACTGAGGCTCCTCACGTTATGTCTCACTGAGGCTCCTCAGTGAGTGAACCAAGAAGACTTTCTTTAAAAATGATAGAGAGTGAACCTCCGCTGAGGAGCCTTCCTCAGATGGCATTCAACACCTGGCACTCCTCCAACACTGAGCACTCCTCCAACACCGGGCACTCCTCCAACACCGGGCACTCCTCCAACACCGGGCACTCCTCCAACACTGGTCACTCCAACACTGAGCGCGACATTAACATAACTCAGAACATCACCCAAGACACCAGTGTGTCACCAGTAACACTCGCTGTCACAATCACAAGTTGTGTCACAAAACTAATACTTTGTAGTTTGAGTAGAAATTTTTAATCAATTTCTTTATACAAATTATTTTTCCCGTCAAAAACTCACGAACCAAAGACATTTGAAGATATTTTAAACATGCTTAAAATTACGTTTCAAAAGCGTTATCAGTTTACACAAAACTTGTTACTAGACCATTACATCTGAGAGGATCTTAAAAATGATACTTGCACTCGTGAATAAGAGCTGTTAGGAGAAAGAAAATAAAGTTTGATAAATCCCAGGAGAGAGTCGTGGGTTGCGGCGGTGGTACACACAGCACTGGCCAGACACAGCACTGACACATACACGCGCGCACACACACACACGAAACAACCTCCACCACAGCCACACCAACACTGAAGACCAGTCCGCCGCACCCCGCGGCCCTCACAAACTCTCCCTCACTCCTACCTTCCCTCCCTCCCTACCACCCTCCTTCACACACTCACTCCATCCCTCCCCACTGGCCTCCCAGTATCACCCCAAAATCCCTGACCCTCTCCACCATCCCTGCCACTCCCCACCATCCATGTCCCTACCAACCATCCATGCCTGAATCTCGACCAACCCTGCTTCATCCCTGCCTGTACCATGACCATCCGTGCACCTCCCTACTTCTGCCACTGGGTTTATTCGGTACATCCTCCCGTGTCTGTCCAGTACGTTGTTATGCGTGTCCGGATTGTAAACCTAATCCTCAAGAATTTTCCCTGTGTATATTATCAGGTATCTTTCTATCCTTCTTTCAAGAGAGTACATTCAAAAGCTTGTTGGCGTTTCCAGTAGTTTAGAAGTTGTATTTCCTGAGATAGCCTGATCAACCAAGCTCTTGGTACCAGCCGCACGCAATCCAACGTATGCATCAACTGACCAAAAGCTGCCTTGAGGAACTTCATAAGTTTCTTCTTGAAGACAGCCAGGGAACTATTGGTAATTCCCCTTTTGGACGAAGGGAGGGTGTTGAAGTCTTGGTCCTTTTACGCTTATTGAGTTATTCATTACTGTACTCATTGCACCATCTTCCAAGCCTCTTCCTATCATATGTAGTGATTTCTGTGTGCAGATTTAGAACCAGCCCCTTTAGAATTTTCAAGGTATAACGTATAATGAATCTTTCTTGCCTATATTCCAAGGAGTATACATAACGAGACTTAAGCATTCCCAATAATTTATGCGAGAAGTGAGGGTTCTCTGTACATTCTCCAGATCTGCAATTTCACCTGCCTTGAACGGAAATATTAGAGTACGTCAGTACTCCAGCCTAGAGAGAACATGTGACTATAAGAGTATCATCATTAGCTTACCCTAATTTTGAAGATTCTAATTATCCAGACTATTACTGCCTTTGCGGCTGTGATAATGGCACTGTTGTGATCCTTGAAAGTGAGACCTTCCCACATAACCACTAGCAAGTCTCTCACATTGGTCTGTCGCCCTAGTGAATGATTCACGTTTGTTTTATACTCACTTCCTCTCTCTATTTCCTCAAATTTTCATAGCATAGTAACTAAAAAATTTTCTCACTGAACATCATATTGTTGTCAGTGACCCACTGAACAACTTGCTTGATATCGGCTTCTAATATCATCTGCAGATTGATAAGGTGATGTGATTTGTGTTTTTGTGTAGGATATGAGAAAGAGAAGAGGGGCGCAGACTGTGCCTTGAGGAACAGAACTTTTCATTGTTACAGTCTTCGACTTCATTGTTCACTTTTACTCATTTGATTCAATTTGTTAAAAAGTTAAATGTTAAACAGCCCAATTTTACGGATATTTCTTATGAACGTACTTTATGCATGATACACTGCAACTGCATTTTCGTTGTCTGCCACCGCATCCCAGACCATATCGTAATAGTCCAGCAATTGAAAGAGGCAAGAGCGACTTGCCCTAAATCCATACTGCCCACGGTTTTGGAACTGTTGAGATTCCATGTGACTAGCAATCTTGCTTCTTAAATATCTTTCAAAGATTATTACAATGTTGGACATCAGTGCTATCGGTATATATATATATATATATATATATATATATTATATATATATATATATATATATATATATATTATATATATATATATATATATATATGCAATAAGATCACAGTAAACAGGTGATTTCAAAATATGCAAAACAACCACTCTGAAAGAATAGAGAAATTCCCAAGCGCTTTCGTGAATACTCACATACTCACGAAAGCGCTTGGAATTTCTCTATTCTTTCAGAGTGGTTGTTTTGCATATATATATAAAATATATATATATATATATATATATATGCATATATAATATATATATATCAGGTAGTAGGTTGGTAGACAGCAACCACCCAGGGAAAGTACTACCGTCCTGCCAATGACTGTGAAACAAAAACCTGTAACTGTTTTGCATGATGGTAGGATTGCTGGTTTCTTTTTCTGTCTCATAAACACGCTAAGATAACAGGGATATCTTGCTACTCCTACTTACACTTTGGTCACACTTCACAGACACGCACATGCATATATATATTACATACATCTAGGTTTTTCTCCTTTTTCTAAATAGCTCTTGTTTTTTTTATTTCTTCTATTGTCCATGGGGAAGTGGAAAAGAATCTTTCCTCCGTAAGCCATGCGTGTCGTATGAGGCGACTAAAATGCCGGGAGCAATGGGCTAGTAACCCCTTCTCCTGTATACAATTACTAAAAAAGAGAAGAAGAAAAACTTTATAAAACTGGGTTGCTTAAATGTGCGTGGATGTAGTGCGGATGACAAGAAAAAAGATGATTGCTGATGTTATGAATGAAAAGAAAATTGGATGTCCTGGCCCTAAGCGAAACAAAGCTGAAGGGGGTAGGAGAGTTTCAGTGGGGGGAAATAAATGGGATTAAATCTGGAGTATCTGAGAGAGTTAGAGCAAAGGAAGGGGTAGCAGTAATGTTAAATGATCAGTTATGGAAGGAGAAAAGAGAATATGAATGTGTAAATTCAAGAATTATGTGGATTAAAGTAAAGGTTGGATGCGAGAAGTGGGTCATAATAAGCGTGTATGCACCTGGAGAAGAGAGGAATGCAGAGGAGAGAGAGAGATTTTGGGAGATGTTAAGTGAATGTTAGGAGCCTTTGAACCAGTGAGAGAGTAATTGTGGTAGGGGACTTGAATGCTAAAGTAGGAGAAACTTTTAGAGAGGGTGTGGTAGGTAAGTTTGGGGTGCCAGGTGTAATGATAATGGGAGCCCTTTGATTGAACTTTGTATAGAAAGGGGTTTAGTTATAGGTAATACATATTTTAAGAAAAAGAGGATAAATAAGTATACACGATATGATGTAGGGCGAAATGACAGTAGTTTGTTGGATTATGTATTGGTAGATAAAAGACTGTTGAGTAGACTTCAGGATGTACATGTTTATAGAGGGGCCACAGATATATCAGATCACTTTCTAGTTGTAGCTACACTGAGAGTAAAAGGGAGATGGGATACAAGGAGAATAGAAGCATCAGGGAAGAGAGAGGTGAAGGTTTATAAAAATAAAAGAGGAGGCAGTTAGGGTAAGATATTAAACAGCTATTGGAGGATAGATGGGCTAATGAGAGCATAGGCAATGGGGTCGAAGAGGTATGGGGTAGGTTTAAAAATGTAGTGTTAGAGTGTTCAGCAGAAGTTTGTGGTTACAGGAAAGTGGGTGCAGGAGGGAAGAGGAGCGATTGGTGGAATGATGATGTAAAGAGAGTAGTAAGGGAGAAAAAGTTAGCATATGAGAAGTTTTTACAAAGTAGAAGTGATGCAAGGAGGGAAGAGTATATGGAGAAAAAGAGAGAAGTTAAGAGAGTGGTGAAGCAATGTAAAAAGAGAGCAAATGAGAGAGTGGGTGAGATGTTATCAACAAATTTTGTTGAAAATAAGAAAAAGTTTTGGAGTGAGATTAACAAGTTAAGAAAGCCTAGAGAACAAATGGATTTGTCAGTTAAAAATAGGAGAGGAGAGTTATTAAATGGAGAGGTAGAGGTATTGGGAAGATGGAAGGAATATTTTGAGGAATTGTTAAATGTTGATGAAGATAGGGAAGCTGTGATTTCGTGTATAGGGCAAGGAGGAATAACATCTTGTAGGAGTGAGGAAGAGCCAGTTGTGAGTGTGGGGGAAGTTCGTGAGGCAGTAGGTAAAATGAAAGGGGGTAAGGCAGCGGGATTGATGGGATAAAGATAGAAATGTTAAAAGCAGGTGGGGATATTTGTTTTGGAGTGGTTGGTGCAATTATTTAATAAATGTATGGAAGAGGGTAAGGTACCTAGGGATTGGCAGAGAGCATGCATAGTTCCTTTGTATAAAGGCAAAGGGGATAAAAGAGAGTGCAAAATTATAGGGGGATAAGTCTGTTGAGTGTACCTGGTAAAGTGTATGGTAGAGTTATAATTGAAAGAATTAAGAGTAAGACGGAGAATAGGATAGCAGATGAACAAGGAGGCTTTAGGAAAGGTAGGGGGTGTGTGGACCAGGTGTTTACAGTGAAACATATAAGTGAACAGTATTTAGATAAGGCTAAAGAGGTCTTTGTGGCATTTATGGATTTGGAAAAGGCGTATGACAGGGTGGATAGGGGGGCAATGTGGCAGATGTTGCAAGTGTATGGTGTAGGAGGTAGGTTACTGAAAGCAGTGAAGAGTTTTTACGAGGATAGTGGGCTCAAGTTAGAGTATGTAGGAAAGAGGGAAATTTTTTCCCAGTAAAAGTAGGCCTTAGACAAGGATGTGTGATGTCACCGTGGTTGTTTAATATATTTATAGATGGGGTTGTAAGAGAAGTAAATGCGAGGGTCTTGGCAAGAGGCGTGGAGTTAAAAAGATAAAGAATCACACACAAAGTGGGAGTTGTCACAGCTGCTCTTTGCCGATGACACTGTGCTTTGGGAGATTCTGAAGAGAAGTTGCAGAGATTGGTGGATGAATTTGGTAGGGTGTGCAAAAGAAGAAAATTAAAGGTGAATACAGGAAAGAGTAAGGTTATGAGGATAACAAAAAGATTAGGTGATGAAAGATTGAATATCAGATTGGAGGGAGAGAGTATGGAGGAGGTGAACGTAATTCAGATATTTGGGGATGGACGTGTCAGCGGATGGGTCATATGAAAGATGAGGTGAATCATAGAATTGATGAGGGAAAAAGAGTGAGTGGTGCACTTAGGAGTCTGTGGAGACAAAGAACTTTGTCCTTGGAGGCAAAGAGGGGAATGTATGAGAGTATAGTTTTACCAACGCTCTTATATGGGTGTGAAGCGTGGGTGATGAATGTTGCAGCGAGGAGAAGGCTGGAGGCAGTGGAGATGTCATGTCTGAGGGCAATGTGTGGTGTGAATATAATGCAGAG